GTGATAAATTTTATAAATAGCCAATCGACCAACCATTACAGAGACCACGATAGACTGAAGGAGCAAACGAACGAAGTGGAAGAATTAAAGAGAACGAGTGAAGAACAGCAGGTGGAGCTGTGCTCCTTAAAGAAAAGGCATGAGGAATGCCTGGAGTATGTGGACAAGTTGACTGCTTTTCATACTCTGCTCCAATCTGACAACAACAAGCTGCAAGACGAGGTTTACTTTGTTTCTCTCTCTCTCTCTCTCTCTCTCTCTCTCTCTCTCTCTCTCTCTCTCTTTCTCTCTTTCTCTCTTTCTTTCTCTTTCTTTTTCTCTTTGCAAAATGATGGTTTATTTTATATCTTTCTCTCTTTGATTCCTTTTCTCTCTTTCTCTCCCTCTCTCCACAAGAAGAGAAATTAACATAATTTCCCTCGCGTATACATAAGCTTAGCGTATTTGGAATTGTTTAGCCTATTTATCTCTCTCTACTCTCTCTCTATTTTCCCTCTCCTCCCTCTCTCTATCTCTCTTTTTCTCTTAAATCGATTGGTTAGTTAGTGGGCTGATTGGTTGGTTTTTGATTGACTGGCTGCTTCATTCATTCATTCATTCGTTTATTCGTTCATTCCTTCGTTTATTTGTTCATTTCTTCGTTTCACTCACTTACATATTTATTAATAGGTTCTAACATTGAAGTCAGAGAACGATGAACTGAGGAGGAAGAACGTCGAACTTGAGGCTGATAACACGGCCATGGTTATTTTCAATTACTCATTCTCTCTCTCTCTCTCTCTCTCTCTCTCTCTCTCTCTCTTTCTCTTGGCACTTTGTTTGGCTGATATTGAGAATTGGTTGTTAGATTGATTGGATTGATTGACTGAGCGACTAATTGATTGGTTGGTTTATTGATTGATTTGATTGATTGATTGATTGATTGATTGATTGATTGATTGATTGATTGATTGATTGATTGATTGATTTATTTATTGATTGATTGATTGATTGATTGATTGATTGATTGATTGATTGATTGATTGATTGATTGATTGATTGATTGATTGATTGATTGATTGATTGATTGATTGATTGATTGATTGATTGACAGATCGAGCAGAGGTTGTCGAATGTGCAGGACTTGAAGAAGGAATTAATTTCAACCCAGGAGATGCTGCAGCAGAAAAATGAGGAGTGTGAGTTCTGACGGTGGTGTTGGTAATGATCATCTGGCGGTTATGGTGATGATGCGAATATTTATTATAATTATGATTATAATTATTACAATTATAAATATTATTACAGATAAAATGCTGGCGACAGAGTTCAATGACCTTGAAAGCGAGATGAAGACTCAAAAGAGACACAATGCCGTCAAAATTAAGGTGACGATGTCTGTGATGATAGTGATGTCGTTGGTGATTCATTTGTCCATTCATCCATTTATTGATCCATCCGTCCATCTATTCATCTATCCATCCATCCATCCGTCTACAAATCTACCCAGGACTTAACAAAACAGTTGCAAACGCTCAGTAAGAGGTTAAACATCAGCCAGCCAGGCAATCACAACAGCAGCGTTCATTCCGATGGTGTCGCCGGCGACGGTTGCGGTCGCGGTAGCCGCGTCGCTGGCGACGGCTACGGTCGAGGTTGTGCTGGTGGTTACGATAGTAGTGGTAGTAGTAACTTCAGTGATAATGGTTTGTTGCTTCTGCTTTTGATGATTTTAACGTTGTTGTTATTGATTTTGTTGTTGTTGAAGTGGTTTAGTTGTGTTGTTGCTGCTGTACTCAAGTCTGTTTCATTCTGAACAGGTCTGTTGGTCAGTAGCACATCAAATCATCACAAACGTCAACAACATCTGACTTCAAATTCTCTTGCAAACAACGGAAATGTTGATGACGACGATAACATCAACAGCTTCTACAACAACCCGCCATCGTCATCTCTACCACCACCTTCATCGTTACCATCATCATCATCAGCTGTAACAGCAGCAGCAGCAACTAAAGCAACCTCATCATCATCCACCAAACGAATAACTTTTAATGGCGAAGTCATCATAAACAACGACGATGATGAAAACCGAAATAGAAATTCTCGGAAATCCCTTGTTTCTAAAATTATCAACGACTGTCATCATCATCATCCTCATCAGAAGACTGAAGAGCCGTCATCATTTCCATCTTATCATCATCATCAGCATCATCAGAGGTCAAACGCATTAGACGATAATCGTCAAACTGAAATTATTTGCGATGGAGGACTTAATGATGAGGTGATGATGGTGATGATGATGGCGATGATGATGATAATAGTGATGATGATGACGACGACGATGATGACTATGATGATGAGGACGACGATGTTGATTATGATCGTGATAAGGATGATGATGGTAGGACCCTTATCGATATAATTATTTCTATTTATAACCACCCTTCACGATTGGCTAACAGGTCAACCAATCGGATGACGTAAATTTCTCGACTCCTCCCACAGTGCGCGTGGTTCAGGTGAACAAGCAGATGTTGATTGACAAGATAGTATCTCTGCAGAAAACCCTCGCCAAAAAGAACGAAAGGATGGAGTTCCTATACGAGCACAACATCAAGCTGACTCATGAATTGGCCAACAAAGCCAAGTCAGTTCGTTTCGTCTCTCTATCATTTTATTCTTTCATTTTTTATCTATCTATCTATCTATCTATCTATCTATCTATCTATCTATCTGTCTATCTATCTATCTATCTATCTATCTATCTATCTATTTAATTTTTTTCATATATTTATATGTCTAAGATTATTTCATCCATCTATCTATCTATCATTCATTCATTTTCATCTAGTCATTCATCTTCCATATTGATGATGAATATTTGCCGACGGATATAACGGTGATGAGGATGTTGATTAATCAATGATTGAATAATTTTGAAATAATTATGAAATAATTATGAAATAATTTTGTTATAATCATGAAATAATTTTGAAATAATTTTTTTTTTTCGTTACAGGATAATAAAGAACTACGTACTAAAAGAGGAAGCAGGTGTCATGTCGACCAACCAATCAGATCGATTAAAAGTAGGTCAATTAGATCAATAAATAGGTCACCAACATCGGTGTTATATCATTTTGCTGAAGTTTATTTTTCGTTACCATTGCTATCATCGTCGATATTATCAGCTTAATCATTATCATCAACAATTTCAACATTTTATCGTCGTCATCATCAACAACATCGTCATCATCACATCTTCATCATCACATCTTCATCATCAACATCTTCATCATCAACATCTTCATCATCATATCTTCATCATCACATCTTCATCATCACATCTTCATCATCACATCTTCATCATCACATCTTCATCATCACATCTTCATCATCATATCTTCATCATCACATCTTCATCATCAACATCTTCATCATCACATCTTCATCATCACATCTTCATCATCACATCTTCATCATCACATCTTCATCATCACATCTTTTAAATCCATCATCATCGCCGTCGTCGCGTCCTCACCAGCTGCAGATGACGAGACGTGGTGGCATCATGGCTTCTTTGTTCAGCTCTCAGCAGCAGGATGAAGGTATGACGGTTGACCTCGCTCTTGAGATTTGCCACAAGCTCCAGTCAGTCCTTGAAGATACGTTGCTCAAGAATATTGCTCTTAAGGTGAGGACCTGGTGATGATGTGCCTGGGGTATGGTGATGACGTCATGATGATAGGGTGATGACGATATGGTGGGATGAAGCCGTGCTGGTGGAATGGTGATGACGATGTGTCAAATGTCAATTAGATGCATCATGATTATGGTCACCATCATCATCATCATTCAGGAAAGCATTGAAGTACTGGGTCAGCAGGTTGAGAAACTCACAAAGGAGAGCCAGGCCAAACATCAACAATGATGATGATGATGATGAAGAAGACGATGATTATGATATAAGGATGATGATGATGGTGATGGTGGTGGTGAAGTTCGTGAAAGTGGTGATGATGACTAGCATGTTCTATGTTTCATATTATCATATTTATTTTCAGCTGCAAATTTCGATACAGATTACCGTTTATTCACTTCATCTGGCTGCTTACCTCAAACTCAAACTTTAATCGAGTTAAGGAATGTATTAATGAATGAATATGAATGAATGAATGAATGAATGAATGAACAAACGAATGAATGAATGAATAAAGTTATCGAATAATAATTAAACAGTTAATAGACGGGCATATTAATCCAACGCATCCATCTTTCCTGCATTTGATTTCCGACGGCAGCTGGCTGGTGGTGTTCCATAAATTTTAATTTACTCCACACGTTCTTGTGTTCATTATTTAGTATTCTTTGTTTGAAACACGCAACATCCTATAATGTGGTGTGCCTGTGCGAGTTTGTTTGTGCTAAAATACACACACACACACACATATATATATATATATATATATATATATATATACATATATATATATATCTTGAATTGTATATCTGTTCAAATACCTATTGACTTATTGAGTTGTTTATTATTTAATAATATTCTTCATAGTCTCTTCTTTACTATATGTATGCATGTGTGGTATGCAGCATAAGTGGTATGTAGTATAGGTCCGTCATATCCATGAGAGTTAAGATATATCTACGTATATCGCATTCTAGCTAATGTTTTCCTCTATAGCTTAAAGGAGTTCTAGTATAGGAATTGAACTATAGGACTCAAACTTAGGGATGGTCTTTTGTCTCAGGCGTTATACATTCTACGCCACTCTCACTACTAAGTGAAGTGGAAGTGAGATGCATATTATAGGAGGACGATTCCTCTTTCTTTAGTTTAAAATTAAAAGTTTAAGTATTAGTCCATTTCGTTACTGATAAACATTTCGTTACTAAGCTAATTACTGATTCATTTAAAAATTACTCAGTTACTCTTCTGTAGATCTAAAACTGGCTTTTACGTTTAAATATACGTAGTGTTTGTGTGTGTGTGTGTGCGCGTGTGTCTGGTTGTTATTTTTATTACCATTATTATTTAGTTATAAAGTTTATTGTTATTATTGTCGACGTTAATATTTTTCTGACCATTCAACATCCTTAATTTTCCTGTTGTGTTTTTTTAACTATAACTTTTATTATTCTTCCATTAAACATTCCGAGTTTTATTACAAATTTTTCTTTTTTGTTATTTTTGTGATTAATTATAGACACACACACACACATATATATATATAAATATATAGAATATATTATACATGTTACATTCTCTATATATATATACACACACGTCTGTATATAGAATATATACACGCTATATTCTATATATATATTCTATATATATGTACAAATATATGAATACTGTACACTGATTCCGATTTGATGATTTGACTTTTTTAGTTAAATAATATTATAATTTACTCTAAGTTTATATTCAATCACATTTAGTCATATACTTAGAATTTGCTTAACTTCTTAACTTTCTCCAATACAATTGCTATGTTGGAAGAATAAACCACCCTGTGGTAAACAATTTTGACCTTTTGAATCAATTGTCCCGAAGGATTCGATGAAAGTTAATATATTATTACATAAATATGATTGATGATATCAGGATTGATTGTATATTCAACAGATTTGATTGTTAATATTTTGTAAAAAAAAATTGACTCAAATTTCATTTGCACACAACTCCAACTGTAAACTATTGCTTGATAATGGTGATAACGTGATTATTTAGTGTCAAATTGATTTAAAAGTTCAACCGAAGTTACCTAATTTTACGATCAATGAGCTAATAATTTCCAACAACTTACACTAATTTTAAACGTTCCTACTTTTACTCTATCAAATGTCTAGTAAATACTTTCTATCTTTATGATACATATTTTTTTAAAATATAATCCATATATAATACATTTATTTAGAATAGATATAATGTATATAAATAGATATAATGTATTGTAAATGCAAACACATAAGTAATTTGTCTTTCCACTTCATAGAAATTAAATTAACTATTAAAAACTCTATGTATCGCTTGTAATCGTGGATACAAAGCTTCCGTTTCCGTTCCTTTTTAATTTTGCCCTCGCCGACCTAATCTCGTTCTTATTCGATCGTTGTATTTTGAGTTACGAACAATCATGTCGACTACAAATGGAGGCAATGCGTTTGCAGATGCAGTAGCCAAGGCTAAACAGGTGAAAAAAAAATCCGAAATTCAACTTTGTTTCGCTATTTGGTTGAAAAAACTTCAATGAATTTTGATTTCCAAAAAAATTGCCTTTTTAGCAACTATATATAAGTTCATCTGCACTGATTTTAATTATTGTCGATATTAACATGATTTTCATGAAGATTTTATCAAATTTTGTCTACTACCTAACTTGACCACATCTAGATTGCAGCTAAGTTTAGGGGAGCCACTGCTAGCACAGGAGATGGTGGCGGTACAACTAAAAGACCATTTGAAGGTTCATCAGAGTACCAGCCAGAAACAAAAAAGCAGGCCACAGCTGACAGTTTGCATGATTTTTCTCATTTTTTTATTGATTAGTTTGATTTTAAAATATTAATTTGTATTAGATTTTTGAGTACTAGTATGATATTATATTATAATTATAGTTATATATTTCTTTAGTTATGTTATCTAATTTGTTCATGCAATGCGTTATATCACATACCTATCTACTTTCCTTAGATAACAGAGCCAGTCAGGCAGCAGTGTTAGCAGCCCAAGCGGCACAGCAGATTAACGCCAAATTGGGTATAACAGCCCCAGCATCAAATCCCATATTTGCCCCAGCAATTCCGTCTATATCGGCTGGCCCTGGTTTGGCAGATCCCCATGAAATTGCAAGGATGCTCGGTTTTCCAGTCTCTGCAACCGAAACTACTACGGTTCCCGACAAGATGGTCGGATATTGTTAGTATAAATATTTATAATGCATCTAATCTCGTATTTCCTAGTCAAAAGTATTTCTGTTTATTGTTGTTTAATTTTAATTAAATTATTTTTATTTTCACAAATATTCTAAAACAGTAATAGGAAAAGGTGGAGAACAGATAACAGCTATCCAGTCGGAGAGCAAGTGTGTCGTCCAATTCGTCACAGGTTGTTGTTCTGCTTAATGTCTTGTTTTGTTTGCATTTTTGTCTCATAATTGAATAATTGTTATTATAATTTTAGTATAATATAATTTAGTATAATAATATCTGATGCTAATTAATGTGTTAGGTTTGTATGGTTGTGAATGTATTTTATTAATTTTTAATAACTAAGTAATACATATCTTAAAACAACATTCAGAAAGTAATGGTACACCTGAAAGACCATGCATATTGACTGGAACCCCGGCAACCATCATGTAAGTTTGTTGTAATTGATGTCATTTTAACTTATTTAGTAATTTTTAGCAAAATTTACTTATAATATGGTAAAGTTTGTTTGGTTAGTAATTTTTGTACATCCATGCACATTTCCTATTCAACTTTTGTGGATAGGGTGATAATATACCAATGTTACGATGATGAGAATCATTATTGACTTTCGTTCTTCTGAATGTCATGAGTTGATACCATACTTATGTGCATCTGATAATGTAACATTGATGAGCATTTGTACATCTGCCTGATTGTTCATTCATCTGTTTATTCATTTGTTCTATCGACTAAGTTTTCAAAATAGTCGATTCCTTACTAAGATTTACATATTTTCTAATTTGTATAATTACATTCCATCCCTGTCATTATATCATTGGTGTAGTAATTTTCTTTCAGCATCGATGTATTGGTGTGTATGCATTGATACAAACAATGTATTGGTGTATAATGTATGTTTGGTACAACATTCACACAGGAAAGCCAAAGAGGTTTTGAATCGTCTGATCTCAAACTTCAGAGCCGGCGGCGGAGCAGCTTCAGCAACAGACGAAAATTCCTCTCACATCGAGCTAATGGTGCCCGGTTCAAAAGTCGGCCTCATCATAGGAAAGGCTGGAGAAACTATCAAGGGTCTCATGGTTAGTGTTGGTTGGTCGTGTGGGTTTGTGGTACTGATGAGGATTGTGACGATGTCTTGAAATTCTGTGCAATGATGATGACCATGACAACAATTTACATTTTTTGTTATCAATGCTGTGACATGGTGTTGCATTTTATATTGTATTTAAAGCAGTAAAATTGAATCGAATGAGAAAATAGCAATAATAATGTTCTAATTATGCGTCTTCGCAGGAGTCAACAGCTACAAAGATTGTTGTCATACAAGACAGTAACGTCATGACGCACCAGGACAAACCTGTGCGGATTTCAGGAGAAAGAAATAGCTGCCTGGTTGGTAGTTGTACACTTGTGTGTGTTTGTTTTCATTTGTTTGCATATTCTTAAGTGTTTTTGTTTACTATGTTTTTTTTATTACTATATCTTTTTTATCATTTATACATCTTGAATGGAGATCAGTTTTGTGGTGTAAATAACTTTTCCCTCGTTACTTTTTCTACCTATTTTATCTCAATATCATGTAACATGGATTAGTTTTGTCATTTATCTTTTGGGCACACACATGATGATAAACTATTGACTTTCGTTCTACTGATACAAACATTTGTGGAAGTTTATAATTTATCTGATGTAATTATTTGATCCCAAGTTACAGCATATCAATGCATATATGCTGCTAAGCCCTGACATTACATGCATTGTGTAGTTATTACATACCTTAGTACATTATTTGACATTACATTATATGCAGTTGTATAAGGATTTTATTGGTGTTATAGTTTGTGTTGTTTATGTTATATACGTTGAAATTTCACCTCAAGAGAGCTAAAGAGAAGATAATGGAGCTGATATCAGATGCCAAGGACTCAGTATTAATCACAGGAGGAGGACCTGCTGTTAATGTTAGCATTTGTTACTAGTTATTTATATTTATTTGATGTTATTATATTATATTATTTCTACATTTTATTTTATACCCTCAACTGTTAAAAACAGCCCTATGGTACACCGTTGACATCAGAGGGAGGGAAAGTTCATTTTGAAGTTAGTTGTAGTTTTTCAGTTTTTACACGTGTTCATTCATCTATTCAATGGTTTCTATTTGTGGATGCTAGTAAACTCAGCACAATCTAGAGCCATGGATTTAACATATGATATGTCCATAGGTGTAGAAATTGTGCTAAATTAATAATATTCAAGTGTGCAAGCTAGTACTTAATAGTTTGGCAGTCTCTGTGTGTTCTTCACTGACTGCTTTACAAAACTGGCATACATTTTGTATCTGCTTCAATGAGTTTGTGTACTCTTTCCATACAATTAGGATGGATTTGTTTTTAAGGAATAGCAGATGATGTACACCTGAGTTGAAGTAGTAGATGCTGGAACTGCATTCTATTGCTCTGAGTGAAAGTTGTAATACATTTTAATCTCAATAACTTTTCACCCATCCAACGCCTTATGAGGAATGAAAATTTCAAATGATTACATCTTTTAAATTTCAATGATTATATATTTTATATTTTTATTGTATTTGTATACTCAACAGATGCCCATTCAGAGGACCATGGTCGGTTTGGTCATAGGCAAGGGAGGTGAGATGATTAGGAAGATTCAAGAGGAGTCTGGCTCAAAAGTTCAATTTAAAGTTGGTTTATATGAATAGTAAAGTTCACACATGTGTACATACGTTCATTCACACATCACCACTGTACAACAATAAACAACTGTCCCAACAACTCACCCACTAACATCAGGGGGACGACGATGGTACCTCGCCGACCAGGAACCTCTCCATTGATGGTACAGAGGAGACAAACAGGATTGCAATGAGGATGGTCACTAATCTCATTGACAGTGCTATGGTAAGGAATTGCCCTGTCTGTTTGTTTTGGTGGTGTTTGCTTGTGTGATATGTCTGCTCTTGAGTTTTTGCATTTGTTCAATGTACTGGCTATTTTGATTTGTTTGTTCTGTAATTTTTTAATATTCATCATGCAATGTGTACCTTATTCTTGTTAATTGTACATTGAATGTAAACTATTTATCACCTGTCTGCAGAAACAAAATTCCTTGACTGGTGGTGGCAAGGTGGGCTATCCAGGGGCTGAATGGTCTGCTGGGGCTGGCAGCCAGTACAACCTTGCTGTTCCCAACGATAAGTGTGGCATCATCATTGGAAAAGGTTGGTGTCTTTTGTAGATGTTTGTTATACTGTGTATACCAATGTGATTAAGGTTATCATATGCTTCACCACCGTAAAGATATATTATGAGCACACAATTAGAGCCCACGCAACAATGTTTGGTGTTGTGTGGGTGTCAGTGATGTGCTAGATGAATGCCTACTTAAGGTGGGCAGGTGGGGAATTCGCTAACAACGCCATTACATCAGTTGGCGCCGTTTGATAGTAGGCCCCACCACACTTATTAATATTTTATTTTCGTTCTACCCTCGCTCACTTATTTATTTGTCTTGCGGTCTTTAATTAGTAAACACTGCTATGTATTTATTTACAGGTGGGGAGACAATTCGTGATATCAATCGCATCTCTGGAGCATTTGTTGAGTTGGATCGAAATGCAGGCGTCGACTCGAGTGAGAGGATCTTCAAAGTTGTTGGGAACCAGGATCAAGTCCAGCATGCCGTCAGACTTATGTGTGAAAAGGCGCAACTGGTTGGTGTCGCTTGTGGTTTCGTGGGGACTGTTTGGATATTTGATTTGCTATAAAATTTATACGTAATTGTAAAATTGTTTTTCTCTTGCAGCCTAACCCAATGATGTCATCTGATGGATACATGGGCAGTCATATGGGTGGAATGGGACCAAGAGGGCCGTATGGAGGACCACCTGGGTTAGTTGTGTGTTCAGAAGATGATCAGCCATTGTAATTTTCCAAACAAAATCTAATTGAGGAGATTGTTTATATGCACATAATTACACAGTTAAAACGGATCTAATTACTTATAATTTCGAATTTTTCATCTGATTGTAATTTGTAATAGAATGCAGACATTCATCAATTTGAGCAATTTTTTGTTAAACATTTGCAGTCAAATGTACGGACCGATGGGTCCTATGGGTGGTAACATGGGGCCTAACATGATGGGAGGGCCTAACATGATGGGCGGCTCACCGTGGGGACCTTACCCTCCTCAGCAGTACCCTCATCAACAATCTATGGATCCAAGTTAGTTGCCATACTTTTACATTTTTATCATTCAAATGTCCTCTTTGTGATGAGTTTGTAGTATTGAATGCAGTATTCTGGCCTTCTTCAGTTTTTGCTACGTACTACATTTGCTTAATTAATAAGCAAGACTTCACAACTGTTGTTCATAAATCAATGGTTGAACAAGAGTGTCGAGTTGTTGCTATATTGTTTGGTCAATCAGTTGACTGAGTGGAGAATTTCGATAGCATGTTGTACAGACATAACAAATGAACAATGTGTTGTACCATCTTCATACATATTATACATGCCACTAGATGATTTGGTTCATTTATTCTACATCTTGATTGTGTTTTAATTGCTTTCATATTAGAAGATCTAATTAATTTCAATTTAACTCTACTTTAACCCTCACAGACAATCAACAAAAACAACAACCACAACAACATCAACACCAAGGACAGGGCAATGCTCAGGGCCAGCCACCTCAACAAGCACAAGACCCCAATGCAGCAGCTGCTGCTGCATGGGCAGCTTATTATGCTCAGTATTACGGCCAGGCAATGATGAACCCAATGCAAATGGGCTACCCTAATATGACTAACCCTGCCACATCTGTAGCTTCAAATGCTACCAGTGGTGGAGATCCAAGTGCGAGTTCAGCTGGGTCTGGTGCTAATACTTCTTCTGGTAAGTTGTGTGTTCAGTTATCTCTATTTTGAGAGAGAGTCATTGTCTTGGTTTAAGCTAATATATTTCCTTTACATTAATTACCTTGTGAGCATAGTAACCAAACACATTCATACCTACAACTAACCACCAACCAGCGGCAAATGGACAACCAGATTACAGCGCAGCATGGGCAGAGTACTACAGATCACAAGGGATGCATCAGCATGCAGCTGCCATCATGCAAATGCAGCAGCAACAGCAGCAGCAACAACCACCACAGCCACCTCAGCCTCAAAAATAATTCCATGTTCTTAGTTGTTCTTAGGTGATTGGATGAGCTGAGCTGATTGGAATTATTACTTTTGATGTGGTTAGTTATATTTTTTTACCTTTTTTTCAATGATAGCATTTGTGATATATTTTTTTTGTTTTGTTGCTGTATTGCTTATTTTGTTGCTGTGGTATTGTTGTCAGTTACGTATGTAGTGTTTGTAAAACTTGCTTTGCTGTGTGAATGTGTCACTGAACTTATAAATGACATGCGTTGAATCTCTTTTTCAAGAATATCTAGAGGACTTAATTATTATTTATTATCAATTAATTAGTTTTAATTAAATTCATTAATACTAATTTATCTAAATACTTATTTCTTTTTGTTCAAATATTTCATTGAATAATTAAATTAAAGAATAATTTACTTAATTTTGTTTAAAATTTTTCAACAATCTTCATCATTTAATATTAAAAGAGAAATTTTCGTAGCAATTGAATCCATAAAACTCATAAAATTAATTTTAATTATTTTCAATAATAAAGATGAATTATTTCAGCTTTTATGAATTTATTAGTTAACATAAGTTAAATAGGGTCAAGATAAGTCATATTTAGGTCAGGTCTCTAAAGATGATTTTGATTGGTTCAAAATTCCTGCTAACCCTTTTAGCCTTCTGCATTCCTATTGGATACCTCTGATTAGGTCATTTTTCATTTGACGATGAACAATGCATTTAATAAAAATGTTATCACTAATAATGAACTCCAACAACGAAAAATGCCATTTTTTGGGCTTACCTTTAAATTGTTTCATTGCTTTTGTTTTTTTTATTTTTAAAATCCAGCTTTTCTTATATAATCCATTAAATATATAATAATAATATTGTTATTATTATAATTATGACAGTACAAATAATAAATATGATTAATTACTAAATGAGTCGTAGACACCGATGGTTCTTAGAAGGTGTAGCATTGAGAGGTTTGCGTTGCACTATATAATAAATGGCAGAGGTTTGTTCATTTGCAGAATCTTGATTCAATGAATTACTCTACATCATTTAATAATGAATTAAAATTATTATTAATAATTAATTAATTAATAATAATTACTAATTCAGAGATTCATTGAATTAAATCCTATTTCTAATAAATGTTATTTATAAACACAAAATTGAAGTGGAAAGCAGCTAGCTTCCTTAGATCGAACGAGTGACGCCATAGCCTATTTTTCATGAGATCTATTTTTTGATATTTTATAAATTATATTAATATTTTTAATTCATATTAAAATTGAAATATAATTTAAGACCAATCACATGACACATCAGACTGTCCTGATTGGTTGTCTATCTGATTGATTGATTGATTGATTTGTTTGATGGCCTGGTAGATGTTTGTGTCATTGTTGAAAATTATTTGTACTATCCATTCATCTCCTATCAAACAATCAATCAATCATCAACGTCACGTCATCTTTATATAATTATTTTTTAATTAATCCACAAATTACCATAAATATTTTGCACTTAATAATACATTCCCGAATACAGGATTATTTTAGGTTATCTACTGTTGATAGATTGAATTAATGCTCTGATTGGTTGCTTGATTAACCAATCAGTGATCGTCCATCAGGTTGTATGTGTTATGAGGGTGTGAACCGTGAAGTAAACTGATGATAGGTGTTGGTTTTGTGGAGGTTTGTATGAACATAGTGTTGCTTATATGGCACCTAAATCAGTTTCTTCCTGCTTGTTGTACATCTGTGCACTTGTCTCTTAATATATTTGTACATAATATGTCTGTACATTTTGTATATAAATTGCATAAAATTATATATTCAAGTGTACGCTGTGATTCGTGTGATGTGCTTGTATTTTTTTTCTAATTAATTTTTATCCAATAGTTAGTTAATTGTTTGCTAAGTGGTCATATGTGTTTATTTGTACTCTGATCTGTTTGTGTGGAACAAGACATGGTGGTACTGGTTAACGTTGGTCTTTTAAATTTGCCATTGTTTTATGATTAATGCAACTGAATGAACTCAATAACATTTCCATCTCTGTCCATATTTTTGATATTGTCTTTAATAAAAGTATTTTTGAAATATGTTAGCCTTTTTCAATTGTTTAAAAATGAAAAACATTAAAGGGAGGTTTTTTTTATTACATGAAAATTGATCGCGCTATGGTTGGTTTTGAATCAAAATAGTGGAAGAATGTTTACTGATGACATGGTTGGTTTATTAACTGTTGAGTTTAGAAGAAAGTTTTGAGCAGTTCATTCAGAGTTGGAATTGAAGTCCTAACGCAGTTTTATATGAGAACGTTCCTTGCCAGCATTGTCCATTTTCATCGTAGAATTTGCCTGGTCCTTTCATTCTGTGAGACGTTTCAAAAGTGAAATATGAAAGGCGCGAGGTTGCTAAAAAAAATTCATCCTAAATTAAAGGAAATGTAATTTTTAATTGTGTTTAGAAAGATGTGTAGGCTTTAGACTACCTGGATTTTGGGGTGTTGTGACGTTGTCAGGAATGTATGTCAAAAGCTTAAGCGTATTAAATTCGTTAATTTCACATTTCGATGTGTTTACACAGTGATGGGATTAAATAAGGCCTTATCGCTGGCGTTGCCCGTAATGTATAAATCCGTCAACTTATTTACGATTATAAAAGTAATAACTTGTTTCCTATGAAGATTCCGTCATAGTAACATCCGTTTGGCCAACTGTACCTTCCATAACCGTTGAACTGGTTGTTGACAAAGTTGCCTTTGTAAGTTGATCCATTTGGAAAACTGTTGAAAGTAGTTTCTTCAACAATTAGCTATGACCGTTTGATTAGATCGTGAGGTTATTGTCAAATGAAATGTACGGCTATCGTAACGTAAACTAAACTATGAAATTTATAATGGTCAAATCAGAAGTGGGATAATCGCACCACATGTAATGATGTGACAACCTTATTGTTCCTAAGCCATGCATCTTATCTTCCATCCATTGTCCTTCGTACATCATTCCATCGCAAGCTTTGTAAGTACCGTACCCACATCTTTCAAATGGGTGGTAATCAGTCTGCCTGAATTCTCCTTCTGTTTGCGGAAAATAAACTGCACTCTTGTTTTGTGGTTAGATAAATGAGTACAAAAACTTAATAGATCGATTATAAAAAAAAGTCGCGCTACCAACCGTACGTGTCTCCATTCGGAAATGTGAAGCATTTTTTCTCCGGTTTGATTTCCTTCTCTGGGGCATCTCCCTGGTCAGCTGCTAAACTGCCCGAGGATGAAACTTGGAATAAATTTTAATTAGAAGTTTTTAGAAAGTTCGTGATTTTTCTATTTTTTTAATGAATTCATTATTTCACCTTCACCTACCGGTTTTTTCATTCGACATTTTCTCAAGAGGAAAGTCGAAAACAAATGTAACTATAGAAACTAAAGTATAGTTGGAGATGAGAACGAAATTTTTATATAGTAATCGAGCCATAGCCCTTAAGCTTTGGCTTGAAAGATTTTGCATATATATATATATATATATATATATATATATATATATATATATTTAAATAAATTTGGGTTGTTGTGTTATTTATACAAAGTAAATCCGAAATTAATTTTTGTCGGCCAATTATTATTATTTTATATTATTAAATATTAATGAATTTTCTTGTAAGTAAGCTTTGATGATATTTTTTTCCGAAACAATAAAATATTTTTCTTTTTTTTGATAAAATATAATAAATTGATCTAGAACGATCGATGAATAGATTGAAAATTTGTAGCATTCGAACAAAACGAAATAATAATAACAGGGGTGATGATAGTAGTAGCAGTAGTAGTAATAATAATAAGCTTTACCTTCATATGAATGCGTCTGTGTTGAGTCATTTTAACTAACCTAGGTTCTGTGCTCTCTTTTTTCGAATGAATTTTTCATTTACAAGATGTAGGTCTAACTTCTTTCTTAATTCTGCCTTGTCTTGTTTTATGCGTCTTTGGAATGTGCTGCCTGTTGATGCAAGGGACTGTTCTTCTCTAGGTCTTTTTCGCTCATCAGTTAATCAGCTAATCTTACTTAATCATTTCACACTAACTTGATTTAAATTGTGTATTTATGCATAGTTGTTTATCCTTTGTTATTATACATACTGTTTTTTGTTTTTTTTTCTTTATCTTTCCAGTTTTATATTCCATTCCAGAGTTGATTGTTGATTTAAGTTAACTTGTTTATTCCTGTTTGTTTTATTTCTGTTTTAATTGTGAGTTAATTCCTGTTTATTTTAACTTGTTTAATTTTGTTTATTTTTAGGGTGGCCTCACAAGCATTTGCTTTTGGTCTCCTAGCGTGTGTGTTACACTTTGCTGAATAAACACAGATTTGATTTGATTTGATTTGATTTGAAAGATATTTATTGCTAATTAATAATATAATGTTTTGGAATGTTCAAAATTCAGTACTGGACAACATGTGTTTAGCTTTATTCATTGAAAACTAACACTGAAATTTACGGAGTTGACATTAACAAAAAGTTTGTAAATTAGTTGCTAAAAATTGAAATATAAAATATTTTTAAAATGTATATAATTTTAAATAAAATATTAAGGATAGCCAATCCACTCTGGATTGTAATACAACTTTGGATCAAAATTTCTTCTGAATTGTGAGTTTGTCCTGGGAAATTTACTATAATAAAGAGTTGTAGTGTTGGCCAGCCATGCTGACCACCAGGAAAACGACCCTGTTGACATTATGACTCCATCATTCTTCGACATCAAGTACATATCAAACATCGCATCGTGTCCAATTGAAAATACAAATTTCGTGTTTTCTAAATTTTGAGCTAGACTCAAATAGACGATCGTTCGGTTCACCCATGCTATATCATCGCTGCAGAGAAAGTAAATGATGAATGATTGGGAGTTTGTGTTGAAGAACTCGTGAAAGTAATTGACTGTGTAGTTTATATAATCTTCATTCACCACTGTGAAGCCATAATCGACTGCTGCATTTTTCAGAAAATCTCCCCTTCTCACATGCACACCTACTGTTTTTATTGGAAGTTTAGAGGAGCAGTCGCTTTTGTGGACATCGATAAATTTTTCAACAGCTTCTTTAGTCTGATCTTTAAAAGTAAACTCACGCTTCAACTTGTTTTCATGTCCAATTGTGTAGTTGAAACTTTGAAAGTATCCATCGATGAGAAGTGCAAGTGCCTTTTCAAGTCTCGGTTCAAAATGAGGATTTCTGAACATGGGATCATAAACGACTGGACCGAAACGTTCCTTCAAAATTGGATGACGATTTCTTTCGTAAAGAAACTCGTTCGGCAACCTCATCAGAGTTGAATCTTCAAAGTACTCATCAAGCCATCGAATGGGGATTCTCACAGGTAGGACCGCTGTCCTGTTCGAGTGCTCAGCGACGTAGAAGAGAGCTGCAAGGTTGAACATCAGGTTGCCCAATCTTCGTCCGTTGAAGACACTTTCTGCGAAGGAGACAAACTTTGTATCTTTTAATGACGGCGTTTTATAGTTGAAATTTGAAGAAACATCATCCGTGTAGAGATTGACGGAGTCCTTATTTAGATGATCAAACTCCTGTCCAGTGAACCATACGCTGTACATGGTGAAGCTGAGATATACAATAAAGAAACACTTTAAAACTATTCTAAGTCTCCTCGCCCACCACATTATAAAAACAAAAACACTTGTAAAAAGCAAACTTGATTTATTTTTTCGGTTCAATTAACAGTGATGATAACCAAATGTTAGGTCGGTGGGTGATAATTCTTATCTATTTACAAAACGAAAGCACATGCATCAGTGAATGTCTATCTATTATTGATACAAATATATACATTCGCAAAAAATCAATACGAAGATAAGTTAGTTTTTGGTGTGTTTGTCTGCATTTGCTAATCTATGCATGAAGATACACACACACATACAAACACAAACACACACACACTCACGTATACCCACACGTATACCCCTAAACGTACGCACACAAACGCTAATGACGGGAACACATGATTAAAAATTAATTAATTTATTAATTAATTATCCAATTAATTAATTATTTCGTTATTTCGTAGATCAAATGGTATATTAGAAGGATTTTGTCAGAGAAGTTTGACAGGATTAAGCTGGGCAATGTTTTTCTATGTCATCATCCAAACCTATGCTAACAGAGGATATATTTATCAATTAATTATAAATTAAATAATGGAAACTATTTTAGTTCCAAATTTTCAATTCACATCAAATTGTGGCAAACCATTATATTGTCTTCTATTTCAAAAAAAAGTTTCTGTATTTTTCCGAATATCAATTTTGCCGTTGTTTCAACTTCAAAAAGTTTTTGTGATTAATATTACTGATTCTAAAGGTCTTTCAAATGCAAAATTCTCAAAGTACTTCATCATTTTATGAATTTTTTTGGTTAATTAAAATTCATATAACATATTTCAGCAATCTTAAAAAGCCTGTCTACAAAGCCGTAATATTTATTTTCTACCAAATGTAATAGTTTGTCAACGACTTATTTTCATCATATGCAGAGGTCTAATCAGAATGTTTATTTTTTCATGTTGAAATGTGAACCAACTGATATACAATCACTGTTCAGAGTTCACGTTCTTTTTAGCCTGGCAAGGCAAAACAAACATAAGCATTGTCAAGTAATAAGATTGAGAATTTAAAAATTTTCAGCTTTAAATCAACAACCTATATATAAGCATCTATATATGAGCTGTCTACCTCTTTATTTATATAGACCTGTCTTCGTCAGCTCTCTAGATAACTTTAAATTTCTTTTTAAATTACTTTACAATACTTTAGTGTATTAGTATCGTTTCAGTATCTTATCGTTTCAGTATCGTATCGTTTCAGTATCATATCGTTTCAGTAAGGTTTTAGTAGTATCTTAATATAAAACAACTAGGCAACGTTGTGTTAATATAAAACAATCATCCACAATGTTAACTGCAGCGGTGTATGTGATTGCCTTCATCGTATCGTACGCCGTGTTGAAATGGTTTAGGAAGAGGTGGGAACATCACGGGAGCGCCAAGACATCTCAACACCCACCACCTCCGTGTCTTCCTTACCTTCCCATCGTTGGATCGCTACCATTCATTCCCAATCCTAAAAAATTTTTCATTCACATGATGACGGAATCGAAGAAGTTGGGGAACGTCATTGCATTTTACATGGGGAGTCAGTGAGTAAAACTAATAGAAAGATTATTCACTTGTAGCTTTTGCTTTGATTTTATGAGTAAAATATAATAAAAACATGTATGTAAGTATGGGTATTTGTAAATGTTAGTAATTTATATTTTATTACAAATATTATTATTCTAGGATATTTTATTAGTAATATGTATATCTTTGACATCAGGTACATAGTGGTTTTAAATGGCCGAAAAACCATTGAGAAAGCTCTGGTCGGCAAATCTTTAACTTTTGCTAGTCGCCCATCAAATTTCATATTCAGGCTCTACAATCCAAACCATAAAGGTGGTATTTTGCAAGTTAAACAATCTTGAACATTATAAACAATTTAGGAGTTCACAAACATTTATTGTAATTTAAAGGTATCATTGAGCACCCGTTCAACGAGAAGTTCAGAAAATATCACAAGATGTGCTTGAATGTTTTGAAAAATTTTGGACTCGGCCAGACGCACATGGAATCTAGAATAACATCTGAGTTAGAACATTTTTTGCAGAAGATAAAACTGAAAGAAGGCAAGTCGTTCAACCCCGAAAGAGAATTGCAATTAACATTTTTCAACGTTATAAGCAGTATTCTGTTTGGTAAGCGTTGGTCTAGTGAAGATCCAGAGTTTCATAACGTTATGAAACTGGGAGACGTTTTTGTTCGTAGTTACATTCTGACATTTTTCCCATTTCTAAGGTTTTTTCCTTATTTCAGAGGTCAATTGAAACTGTTGGTGGATTCTTTTAGAACGTTCAACATGTTTCTAGAGAGAAACCTTCGTTCTGCTACGGACGAGGAAACGTTTTACAAGCAACTGATTGAAGAAGCACAAAAAACATCAGACGAGTCAGATAGTGCCAGTCTGGTTGATGACGAGCAGCTGCGGATGATCGTTAGAGACATGACGTTCGGCGGAACGGAAACAGCATCAACCACGATGCGTTGGTTGTTAGTTTACATGGCGAATTACCAAGATGTGCAGGAGCAGATGAAAGAGGAAGTACACAGAGTTGTTGGCCTCGACAGATTTCCATCCTATGACGACAAATCAAAAATGCCAATCACTGAAGCTTGTATTTTGGAGGTGATGAGGATTCGAACACTAGCTCCAACCAGTTTGCCGCACTTGACTCTGAACGATTGCGTCATTGACGGGAAATACATTCGAGGAGGAACAACCGTCTTGCCGAATTTATACAGTGCCCACATGGATCCACAGGCCTGGAATGAGCCCGAAAAGTTTAAAGTGGAAAGATTTCTGAGCAATGACCAAAGAGAAGTTATTAATCGCAATCTTGTCATTCCTTTTTCGCTTGGTTTGTTCTGAAAATTGTTTTTCGCACCGATCGTAAAAGTCAAATGAATATTTTTTAAAATATTTTAGGTAAACGTTCATGTCTGGGCGAGCCATTGGCCCGTGTAGAGTTGTTTCTGTCCGTTTCCACGTTGATTCAACACTTTCAAGTTTTGCCGCCAGAGGGTGAGGAAGAAGTGTTGGTTAAAGAAGTGTTTGGTACCACAGTCACTCCTTCCCCTTACAAAATCAGATTAGTTGAAAGAACTGAGGTCAAATTATAGGGTAAATAGATGAATACTAGTATGGATAAAAAAAATTATCCATCCATTCAACAAATGTTTAATTCAGATAATTTTCTTTGCAGAATAGTTTTCAAACACTGTGCTTGTAATTTCTTAAGAAATGGCGAATTTGTTTTTTAATATTTGACAAACATCTGCAGTTTAAACATAACGTCACATATAGCATGACATAACAACATAAAACACGGCAACGTATGGCGTGACGTAATACGTAATATAACATAATAACAAAAGTAACAATATAACATAATAACAAAAGTAACGCGAAAATGGATGTAGGACTGACCATATGACCAAACATTATTCAAAACAATTATACTCCTTTTTCTATTGTACGTGCTAAACTGCTAACTGCAGAAACCACTGAGCTAATTAATTCTAATGACTTTTCGGATCAAGTAATTAACGTCTGATTGATATTACGCCTTAGAGACGCTCAAATAAGTTAAGTTAAATTAAGATCAAAATTGTGAACATCCGGGAACATTCATTTTGAAACATTTGGCCGGTTGAACGGCTGCAGAATTATATTTATATTGTATGCTTCGACATGAGACGAAAAATGTACTGAATATATCAAGATCCATATAATTAGAATAAATATAACGGCCTTCGCTCATTTTTGACGGTCGAACAAGGAGCTTACTTCCGGAGGAAAATTGGAGGGTGATTTTTTATCGCCCGAGTCAAAAGTTACGATCGTATATTTACTAATTTCGGAATATTGCTTTTATTTAAAATTTAAAAATGTTTTAAAAGGTACTAGATGCTGTTTTAGGATAGATATTGCTGTATGACGGTTAAGTATCTTTTTGCATTTTAAATTAAAAAAATTTCTATATTTATACTGACAAAAATAATTGTGATATGAATATATTGATTTATTTAAAGCATTATATGTACAAAAAAGTGCTATCGTAAGAGTTCTATGAAACCCTGTAAGCCACTGCTAAGCCAACGTATGATTTCAGCAGCCAGTTTCTTATGAGTACCAGCAGAATGTAAAATATTCATTGAATATAATGAAGATAGTTGTTCAAATAACAATTTTGATTTATTTAGGCCGTTTATTTCGTAAGCAAACCAATTTTTAACATGATCGAATAGTGTAAAAAAAAGGGTGACTATAGTTCAATCCTACTAAGCCAACCTTCGGCTTCAGTAAGCCACCGGATTTCACCGGACCAAAAGCAATTTTTATATTCAAATTAACAAAAATAATTTAATAATACATAATTCTATTAATCATTATTAAAATTAAATAGAATTACTACAATGTTTTATTAAATCAAGTAAATATTTCATTTAGCTTGCTCGTTAAAATCCATGCAATTTCGTAAGCCAACAATCCAAGCACGACAAATAGCCCGACCGATAGATCGAATTGATCGATTAGTCCTATTATTCTAGTTATGTGGTTTGGAGCAAGGGGAGACATTACTGAAAATAATTAAAAGTTGAAAAAATTGAGGTTCTTTGCATATCCCTGCTTCAACCCATAAGAAGGTGTTGTATGCTGGTAAATAGGCCTCCCCTTTTCAAGATCTAAAATATTTTTTTTTCATGTTGTTTCTAAATATATAAAATAAATTGTTTTAACAAACTTTTTTAAATAAAACTTAACCGTAAAATTATTAAATTTAAAATATAATCACAATTTATGTAAACACTTCAATAAAATAATGTGCCCAAACATGAATTCTGGCGAAGGAATAAATAAAGGCCATTTAACGCCTTTTATCGGTGCTGTTAAAATATTTTACCCTGAAAAATTGCTGTCGCTAAGTAGATGGCAGATTGTGGTTAATCCATTCTTAAAATCATAAACTGATTCAACAAAAATTTAATTTTAAAAATCCAATAATGTCACCAAAATCGTTAGTTAATTATATTTTATTTTTATTTTCGTGGCTTTCTTCTTCTTCTTGCTTACGATGATCATCTTTTTTCCGGTCATTTGTCAGTCTTTGCAATTAAACGAATGAACTTATCAACAGTCTGCGTGGTATTAGTCATTTCATTTTCACTAAATAAAGAGCAATATAATTGTATTTAAAGTTTTAATGGTAAATCAAAAATAAATGATTTCGGGGAAAATAAAATAAAATAAAATACATACAAATTATTTGTAAATAGATAAAAAAAAATTTAAATATACAAATTTTATAGAAAAAATTATTTACAAAGGAATTTAGACAACGGCACCTAAATTTGGAAAAATATATTGAAACCAGACGAAACGAAAAAATTCATTCTAACTTTGTTGAATTTTTAAAGAGACGTTCACATTTAAATGTTAAACATTTACTAAAAATTTGATGTTTGAAATTGAAGGATTTAAAATTTGGAAAAATTTTTTTTTAGAAAATAATCTAATCAAAATTTAAAATTTTATGAAAATTTTTTTCAAAAAATCAGAAAAAATATAAATAAGAAAATTGAAACACAAAAAATATAATTTTCTTGTCATAACATGTGGTTTGGATGCTTACATAAGTATGTGTTTTCGTTATCAGGTTTTTATATCTATAAATATTAGTGTGCGTGTGTGCATGCGTGTGTGTCTCTGTCTGTGTGTGTCTGTGTGTATGCGTGTGTGTGGGGTGTGCGTGTGTGTGGGGTGAGCGTGTGTGTGTATGTGCAATTGTATTGAAAAACATCCGAGATTTTAAAAATAAAGAAATCACAACACAACATACAAAAACATTGATTAAAAATAAAAATGAAATTTATCCCAATTGCTCAGTTAGTGTGTTTATGTTATTTTGAAAAAAATTATTAGCTTAGACAAAATTTAAAAATTGTTTGTGATTTCATTCATTCATTTATTGGTAGTTTCATTCATTCATCCCATCATTTATTCGTCCCGTCATTCATTCATTCATTCATTCCTCCAGTCGTTCATTCTTTTATTCATTTTTCCTTTTTGTTTCTAACCCGTTCAGATAATTTATTCAATCTTTGGTTATTTCACTTGTTTGTTAAATTTTTTCTATTAAAGATAAAAAGTAAAATAAAGAGACAGAGAAAGAGAAAGAAAGAAAGTGAGAGAGGGAGAGAGGAGAGAAAGAAAGAGAGAGAGAAAGGGGAAAGAGAGAAGAGAGAGAGAGAGGAGAGAGACAAGATTAAAGTGAGAAAAAAGAAATCGAGAACGAATTGAAAGATGGGCTAGATAAATTAGAAAGGAAAAGTTGAAAAATGTCAAACGAACGAACGAACAAACGAACGAACGAATGAATGAATGAATGAATGAAAAAATGAATGAAGGAGCTCTCCACGATATTAGTTGATCAATCGTTCAATCAATTTGTTATATGCCGTTGCATCCACATATTTATCATCTTCAAGTCTTTAATTTGCTTCATCGATTTTGTTGATGTTGTTGTTGTTATTGTTGTTGTTACTGCTGCTGAAGTTGTTGTTGTTGATGTTTTTGTTGTTGGTGTTGTTTTTTTTTGCTGGTTTTTTTATTGATAAATTTTTCTCTATATACTTTTTAATAATTTTAAAATGTTCTTGATACAAATACTTGTTAATTAATGTTATGAACTCATTTAAACATGTTTGCCAATTAAATAATTTGTCCACTATTTCATTCATTCATTCTTGTTCGTTCGTTCTTTCGTTCGTTCGTTCGTTCGTTCATTCATTCTTTCATTCATTCATTCATTCATTCATTCATTCATTCATTCATTCATTCATTCATTCATTCTTTCGTTCGTTCGTTCATTCATTCTTTCATTCATTCATTCATTCATTCATTCATTCATTCACTTCCGTTCTCTAATCTCTGCACCCGGGTTATTACTTCTACCATAATTACCGTCGTTATTTAGACAGCCGCCTATTTGTTTGCTCTGGACCCCTCCCCTGCATTTCCGGTTGGCTCTCAGCTGAGTGAAGTGATGTGCCGCCTCTTCGATTTCTCGTCTGACTTCCCTGACGTCTGCTTCTCTGCCTGTTATGACGAAAACTGGTTCCTCGTCCCGTGGCGGGGTGCGAATGTAGGTGTTAGTTCGGAATCTCAAGTTCTTTATCTTGCAGCCTGTGTGTGTTTGTTGTGTTGTTTGTGGAGGTTGGTTGTTGTTTGGAATTGCTGGTTGGGATGTATTGTTTGTGTCTTTTTGTTGTTCTTTATTGTCTGTTGTGTTTGCTTGTTTGGGGTTTGCAGATTGGGGTCTAGTAGTTGTTGTTGTTGTGTTTGCTTTCGTTGTTGTTTTGTTTGAAATGGTTTTTTGTCGGAACCATGGAAGCGTTGTTTGTTGTTGATTTGGTACATGTATTATTGCAGTTGTTGTTGTTGTTGTTATTCTGTTCTGTTTTGCTTCGTTCTTAATAGATAGACGTGTTATAGTTCATTTGGTGGTTGATATTGCATCCTAGGAAATGATATTTTGATATGCCAATAGTGCCTGGCATGATGAAGCGTTTCATTTGCCGTTGCAGTTTTGGAATGCCTTCTTTGTTGTTTTTGGTTTGTAAAGGTTTTGATTGTTGTGGCTGGCTGGTTGTGGCAATTACTGTCTGCTGGTTGTGGTAGCTGTTTTGTAGCTGTGAATTGTGAATTATTGTGAATTTGAATTATTGATGTTTTGGTATGTATTGTTGTTGCAAATATTGTTTTGTATATTAGATGAGATTGTTGTTGCTGCGACTGTTGTTGAAGCAGTTGCTGAAATTATTTTGTAGCTATAGTTGTTGTTATGGTGGCTGAAGTAGTAGTAGTAGTAGTAGTAGTTAGTAGTAGTAGTAGTAGTAGTTGTTGTCGCTGCTGTTTGTTGTGCTGTGATAGTTTTAGCTGCGATTGTTGCAGCTGTTGTTGTTGTTTGTTGTCGGATGTTGATAAAAAATAGCCCTAAACAAATAGCTTGGGAAAATGGCATCAAGGAATGTTATTGTTGGTTGAACATTCGCTGTTCACATCCAGACAGTGATTGATTCTATTTAACTTGTTTGGTTGCCGATGTTTGGTTGTTTGTTTGTATAATTGTATATTTGTTGTTTGTTTGTTTGTATAATTGTATGTTTGTTGGTTTGTTTGTTGGTACGATTGTTTGTCGATATTTTTGCTGGTTTTGCAATTCGTTTGTTTGTTGTTGCTGTTGAAGTAAATTTAATTTAGTGTATTCTGCTAATGTGATGTTTGCTGATGTTAAGCTGATGTTTTGTACTCGCTGTTGTGTTTTTTATCTTCTAAAGGTTTCTAATTATTTATTTTTGATTTCTGTTTAACATCGATTTGATTCAATTAAAATCCCAAAATCTCAATAACGAATGAACAAGAAATCACTTATAATGTCGGCTATTAAAAATTGCACGTGCGTCATGTCAGAGAATGACGGAAGGAATGAGCAGGAGAAGGAAGTAGCAATTACAGAAGACAGAGGCACGGAGAATAATTAAAATAATTAAGCGCCACATAGTTTTACGTCATCAGTGACGTAAGGCGAACGTAAAATAATGAATAATAACGATTATCCACTTACGTCCATTTATTTATCATTACATCTAATGTCTGTGTGCTCGTCTACGTCTTTCATTCACCCATTCCTGCGTTCGTTCCTTCTTTTTATTCCTTCATACATTCATTCCTTCATTCCTTCCTTCGTTCATTCAATCATTCATTCATTCATTCGTTCGTTCGTTCGTTCGTTCTTTTGTTCTTTCGTTCGTTCGTTCGTTCGTTCATTCATTCATTTATTCATTCATTCATTCTTTCATTCATCCATGCATCCCATGCATGCGTTTATACATTCTGACAATTGAATCAGCGGAACTTGGTCTTTACGACGCTCTATATATTCATTATTAGCTCTTGCACACTCGACAACACTCATCACGTCAATCTCTGTCTGCACACACGAGTGTGTGTTTGTGTGTTTGTGTGTTTGTGTGTGTGTGTGTGAGTGTGTAGGTATGTGTGTGTAGATTTGTGTTTGTATGTGTGGCGTTGTTTTGTATGTACTGACTATGTGGGTATGTATCTATACGTGTGTGTATATATATATGTGTGTGTTTATGTATGTATGTGTTTGGAAACTATGCAAATACAAAAATAGACAATCGTTCTGACATGCATTCGAACAGACATAAAAAAAAATTGTGTACAGATATACATGCGTACACGCACGCACACACACATACACATACATACACACACACATCCTCACCTTGCCTACCGACGATTTCAGCTACGTGTTCAGAACTTGGAACGTGAACTTTATCGGTTGTGTTGGCGCTCTGTAAATGATGACGATGACGACGATGATGATGACGAAGATGATGATGACGAAGATGATGATGATGATGACGAAGATGATGATTATGATTATGAACTGGTCAGGGTTTAAGGAACAATCGATCGTCCCAAATTAGCCTAGAGAGCTGTCTGCAAGCGAGGCAACAGGGCTTCAGACATGGGTGAAGATCCGTGGGAAGATCTAACATCATGTAGACAATGTGTTCGAGAAGATATCTTGGTGGGAGAATCTATGAGATCTAAAACTGCCTCCAAAAGGCACAAAAGATGAAAAACCCCGTCATCTGTCAACCCTTCAAGAAGATTTCTATTATTCTCCATTCTGTGGTAGAGTTTGTAATTAAAGAATTGGTCTGTTCAGTGGCAGCTGGAAGCGTAGAGGAACCACAAAAGGGGCCATTCCGCTAGGTACGTCTGCAATCTTTCGAGAGAAAAAGCAGCCATATATATATATATGATTATGATTAATCATAATTATCATCATCGTCATCGTCGTCGTCAACACTGTTGTCATCATCATCGTCATCATTTTCTTCATCAAAACCATCATAATATGATCGTACGGTGACGATTATAATGCTTATGATGACGACGACGATTATTGTGATAATAATGATAATGATGAAGATGATGACGACGATGATGGTGGTAATGATGAGGATGATGATGACGATGGTGGTGTTGATGGTGAGGACAATGATGATGGTGATGATGACGATGATGATGGTGATGATGACGATGATGATGGTGATAAATTTATTTATCTATACGTCAAGAAATTGTTGAAAATGAGTTGAAAATAAACAAGACGTCAAGCATTAACCGCTGGCGACAATGATGACGACGACGACGACGATGATGATGATGATGATGGCGGTGATAATGATAATGATGGTGGTGAGGACGATGATGATGATGACATGATACATTTTCTTTGCTCGTTCAGTTGTTCTTTGCTGTTTTGACTCGTTAATTGTTGTTGCTGATGATGTTGTTGTTGATGTTGATGATGTTGTTGCTGATGATGTTGTTGTTGTTGATGATGATGTTGTTGTTGATGATGATGTTGTTGTTGTTGATGTTGATGATGTTGTTGTTGATGATGTTGTTGATGATGATGATGGTGATAGTTTGTAGGTGGTGTTTGTTGTCGGTCTAAGTCCTGGCAATCATTTGAAAAAACTAAACTATCTATTTGTTGATGTTGTTGACGTTGATGTTGAAAAAAAGAATGCGGTTGCAGTTGTTTGCGATACTGATGTTGCTGCTGTTGTTGTTGTTGTAGTTGTTGTTGAAAATGTTGTTGGTGATGATGTTGTTGTTTTTGTTG